ACGTCGCGTCCTCGTAGTTGGAGAGGATCCACGGGAACACTGGATACTGCGTCAGGTCATTGAAACTGCGTCCTGCGAACGTGTTGAGCGCCATGAGGTAGTCGAAGTTGCTGATCTGTCGGTTCTGCCAGGCTTTGGTGGTCGCTGCCAGGTGCGGGATCACTCGTCCAGGCCACTGCTTGGGGGTACTACGCGGTAGAAACGAGTACAGCACTCGCACGAACTCATTTCGGCGTTGCTTGGTGGTCAACGGGAAGTCGAGGAAGTGGTTGCTGCCATTGCGCAGGAAGATCTCGATGGCGGAGTCGCGGAGGCGATAGCGACGCAAGTAAACGCCCACGAGGTGCGTGTATTTCCACCTCCAACAGCGATGCAAGCCCGGCGCTGTCTCGTCCACACTGGTGCTAGGAAGAGAGCGTTCGTCAAAGTCTGTCGTGCCCGGTGAGACGCCTCCCACACTCTGCGCGTTGTCGGGTACTTCTTGATGAGGTTCGAACGCGACGTGTTTGCCGCAAAGCGACAGGCGACCCAGCACGATTCCCTCGGGCACTACACGTCGACACGTGACACTGGCGTACACTTGATCGTCTGGCGCTACAGCGATACCAGCGCCAGGATCCAAGCCTTGGTCCCCTTGTCCCAGCAACGCTGTCCCCTTTGACGATGACGTAGTGGACGTAGTCGAACTCTGCTTCCCATCGTCCGTACTGACAGCCACGTCGCTCTTGTACTCGTCTAAAGGCTCGTCGTCCGCAGAACGTGTTTCTGCCTCCTCACTCTTGTCGCCGTCTGTGCTTGGGACGTAGGTATCTGCTAGCTCGGACGCTGGGAGAGCCTCATCCGACGTGATGTCTCGGATCTCGCCTCCACGTTGCTGCGCTACCACTCTTCCGACACGCTCCAGCAAGTTCTCGTCCGTAGAGGAGCTCGCTTGACCTTCCGTGTCACCTTCAAAGCTCTGGAGTATCTCCAAGGGAATCGCCAATGTGGACGAGTGTCTGCGCTTATTCAACGCAGGCTTCTTCGCTTCGCTCTGGTCCTCAACACCCTCCGCTCGCATCGCCATCATCTTCTCGTAGCTCAACTGCAAGTCCACGTCAACTGTGCGTCGCACTCGAGACGGGAACGGAGTCTCGTAGAGTCCAAGGCGCCACATGAGCGTCTTCTGCAGCGCTGCTAGCGTATCCGGCGCTGTAAGTCTCAAGGACGCATACTGGTTCTGCGACCGGAAGGTGAATTCGTGCTTGAGCCACAACTTGTCCGTCCACTTCTGCTTCTTCTCGCGTTGCACAGAGAGCGCCGTCTCTGCTCGCTGCTTCTCCCGACTGGTGACATCCCGCAACGTCGCCAGCATCCGATTTTCCTCGACTTCGAGAGCTGCCCACAACACGCGCTCACTGTCGTCTGCGTAGTCCACACTCGAGTATTTCTTCTCGGCTTCGTCCGTATCCGGAGACTCTTGCGGCCTCTGTAGCTCCTTAGCTATCGGGAAGTACGGCACCATATCCTCCACCTCCTCCCGTTCATGCAACTCCGTGTCATTTATCGCCAACGCCAGCGCATCTAACGTCACCTCCACCGCCTGCTGCTCCGTCAACCCACCCAGTTCGTGCACTGACAGTCCTGCGACTCCCAGCTCTTCATCGAACGAGCCAGACGTGCATATCCGGAGCGTCAGGCGTCGCAGCAACACCAACAATTCCTCCTTCTTGTGCACAACCATCGCACGTCGAAGATCCACTAGCGCTCGTAGAAACACATCGCGCGTCGGCACCGACTCGTACACACGCAGCGTCGAGCCAGCTGTCAGTTCCTGCTGGAAACTCTGCACCAAGACCTCCACAACTCGCTCCATCATAGTCTTGGCGGAGAGATAGGGCAGTGCCAACTGCAGGATCTGGAGTCCAGGAAAGAGCCCAACTCGATGCAGTTTGTGCGTGCTTTCGACCAACCGAGCGCACACGTCCAGCACCGCGTTGAACAGGAACAACTGCGCGTCAGACCACGAGTATTTGTCCGTCGCTACCTCCACTGGCTTCAGTGGCAAGATCAACAGCGATTCGTGAACTAGGAACAGCAACCGCTGCGCGTTCTCCGCCAGCGTCCTCGACAGAATCGTCCGGCTTCTGGCCATTCGCTGCAGCACGATGCCGACCACACGACACGTCCAGTTTAGCGGCTCACGGTACAATTCCGACTGGGTAACATGCGGCGCCACTTGAGCCAGCGGAGGGAGCGAAGAAAACGTAGAGACGCTCGTAGCGCCAGAGTCCGAGCCATATTTCACCTGAATCCCCTTCAACGCCAGCAGCAAGTGCGTGAACGACCGCCATCCGTGCGGATTGCTCATGGCCATACACAACAGCGACACAATTGTGTCCAGCACGAGGTCTTCTCCGGTCTTACTAGCATCGACACTATACGCTCTCCCGCAGTTCTCATCGTCGCCTTGATCTTCGCCTCCATTCGTCGCATCGACGAGCTCAACACCAACAGAACAAGTCAGCGACAACTCCAGTAGCGCATCCGCCCAGCTCTTCTTCATCAGGAGCAGTTGCTGTTGGAGATCTTCGTCTGTCTTCAGCTTGACGTTGATGTCCATGAGCACTTTTTCACGGAAATGCGGCGTGCTTTTGCCCAGTAAAATCGGCAGAAACGGCAGAATGCCTTTCAACGGCAGACTCAAGATGCCACTGACGCCTTCGTCAAACATATCAGCTACCAGCGCCTGACTGTCGCCACGCACCTCTGCGCCAACGTTCGAGAGACTGCGTAGAGCAGTGAGACGGATGACAGAAGCGCGCTTTTCCCACGTCAACTGAAGCCGCTTGCCCACGAACTGGTTGGCCATCTTGATCCACTCGATCAGCCCTCCGATCCCCGTGGTTAACTCTCCAGTGGCTGCGATCGTTGACGACGTAACAGCGATCCCATCCTCAAGTCCGTTGTCGTGCGCCACCACCGACTTGTTCGATGCTGCCGGCGCAATGGGGAACAGCAAAGAGTCTCTCTTGGACGGGTCGTTCATGATGATGCTGTGCTGGACGCCCAATAGCCACGCCGGGTCGAAGTAGAACTCCATCATGAGCTCCAAGAAGCCGACCGAAAAGCTGCCCTGTCCGTTTAGAACCAGCCGTAAATGCTCCTCCAGGCCACACCAGACTGTGCGTCCTTCGATCGACTCCAGCCAGTCCAGCAAGTAGATGAACAGCGGGACACACGCCATGCGAACGTGGATCGAAACGTGCGAGTCCTTGCTGTCCTCGTTGTCGTCTGCATCACTACGACGGTCGTGCATCAAGTAGAGCAAGCAGTCCATAACACTGGAGCTCACCAGGGCGAAGCGCATGTCCAAAAACGACACCGCGAGTCGTCGTAGAAGCAGCAGCAACGACGTGCACACAGCAGCATCATTACTCGTCATGAGGAAGCGAACCACAGCTCGAATGTCACGCACCAGAGAGAACCGGACTTGAACCGAGTGCAGCACGCTCTTTCTTGCAGTCGCAGTATATTCATCGGTCGTAGCGCCGTCAGATTTACCGGTAGAAGCCGCTCCCGTTGCTGTCTGATCGCTCCATACGATACTCTCGAGATTAATACTGAACACGCCTCCCTTCCGACCAGGAACGACTATAGTGGGCGGTGTAGAAGCCGACGACGGCGCGTTTGGCGACGTGGAAGGCGCAGCTCCACTAGCAGCTGAGCCACCCGAGCTGACAGGGTTACTCGCACGAGCAAACGTCGTCTCCATGACTTCCTGCTCCAGAACTTCATGCACTTGGGTACTCTGGTTCGTCAGACACACCTCGATCACCTCGACTAAGCTCTGGATGCTCTGCTGCTTCCAGTGGTGATCTTTGTCGTCCGGTTCGGTGATCTGCTGCGAGCTCTGACTCGACTCCGTGTCTCCAGACGCATGTGAAGAGTGCGGAACCGAGTAGAAACGTCCGAGAATCTCCAGCACTTTAGAAACTGCCTGCATGTTGTTGAACGCTCTTGGATACTCGCAGGCCAGTCCGTACATCTGATGGTTGTAGATGGACTGCGTCTTGAAGTCCGCTTGCGTCCACAGCCGATAATCCAGCAAGATAGCGCGCACGCCAGAGGCGAAAAGAGGGTTCGTCGTCCATATAGACACGTGGAAAGGGTGGTTCTCCCCCACGTCCAGGCTCTTCTTGGGGGACGGCATCACATCGAACAAACTCTTGACCATCTCCACGCACACTACTAGACTCCCAGGCGTCCAGATAACCGAAAGACAGTCCTTATGCCGCACCATAACATGAGACAGCATGTGGAACACGTAGTTCCCGAGCACTTCCTGCTGGTTGGCCACATTACTGAGCAGCATCCCTTTCAAAATCCACAATAAATCCACCACCACACTCTCCACCACCGCAGAAAGCGGACGCTCTCCTGACTGCTCCGTCTCGGCAGCGTCTTGCTTCCTTGTGATCTTCTCGCACGCTGTTAAGAGATAGTCCAGGATAACTGGCAAGGACGACACGCCGACGGACCGATACCACGCTGCGTGATACTCCGGGAAGATCATTTTCTGCGTGCTTTTGCCCAGTCTGGCGTTGCGTTGCTGGATCTCCGCTGAGGCGCTCACTGTGCTCTCTAAGGCCAGCCACTTCCCGTTCGTAGTAGGCGTCGTCCCTTCACACAGCCACTCGACTCCTAGATCAGCATAGTCCTCGTTCACAGTGTTCTGCGCGTTGAAAGCGAACACCACTTGCAGCTTACAGAAGGCTGCGAACGAGTCGCTCTCCGGCACAGTCAGTGGCGATGGCCCTAGCAAACGTTCGCGGGTGCCAGCGACCATGCGACTGGACCGGGTGGGCAGCGCTGCAGCCCATCGATTAAACGACGAGACCATCGGTCCTAAGGAGTACATCAACTCGATCGTACCACGTGAAAGCTCCTCCTGGTACATGGCTACACTTGCAACCTTTGCCTTGACGTTCCGACCGCCTCCTACGGTACACTTGGATGCTGTGACCAGACCCGAAGGGTACACTAATTCCTCCTTAAACTGCAGCTTTGTATCCACATGGCACGTCACTTTACTCTTCTTTACGTAGTGTAGCGAGTGCGAGACGACCAGCAGATGCCATTTACCAGGCAATACGTCAATTTGTCGTTGAATTCTCCTCCATTCCGGCTCGTACGAAGACGTAGCTGCGACTGACGCCGACTTCTTCGCGTCTGCAGCTCCAGGAGCGCAACAACTGACATTTATTAGCACTCCGTGGCCACTTCCGGTCGAATCCTCTGTATACTCCAGCGACGCCTCCACTCCCAACGTATTTGACCCGTTCGTAAACCTGAAAAGATTAAATTTGGCGTACAGATCCTCTGCGGAGCTCTCCTTTTTGGCTTGAGCTAGACAAAACTCCACGTTGATCCACACTGCGACGGAATAGCCACGGAAGGCGCTCCAATCCACGATGGGGAGATGCATTCGACCGTTGTCACGGAAGGAGAAATAGGCCGAAGGAGGCACCACTAGGTCGCGTGGAAGGACGTACTGAGACTGACTGTCTTCTTGCTCTGTGTTCTCGTCAGGAGGGAGTAATAGACGCTTGGCGAAGGTCCTCGAGAGCCTCTGGACGTCTCGAATTAACTGTTCTCTTTCAGTTGATGAGCAATCCACAAAGCAGGCCATCATGGTCTTCTTCACCAGTTCGTGGGCAGCTTTTGAGGGCGATAACTCGCCCAGTTGTGGGCCTCCCGAGGCGATACTTGGTGGTTCGTCTACTGTGTTGTTCTGATTGTCATTATCACCGTCGGAGTCGCTCTTATTGACCTGGAATTCTTGTTGTTCGTGAAGTTCCATTGGAAGGTGGGTTTACGTGCAGTGGATCGCGCTTTTCTCGATGGTTACGGAAGCTACAGCGATCACAATTGCGGGTACGAGAAGAGGAGATGACGCAGAAGTTGCAGAGCACGCTATTACGCACTACGGGGAATCAGGGAGCGAAAGGAGAACGTCACTGCCGTCTAGAAGTCGAAGGGTTGAGAGCTTGGACGTTTTTTTTTAGTGCAGCAGCAAATATATGGCACTGTCTTTAGGCACTTTTAAGCTTGAAGTGAGTAAGGAATCCGAAGTTTTGAGACAAAAATGATGCAAACCTGAGGAGCTCAGATAGAAAGCACCCCGTAAAGAACCTCCACCGTGATACTAAGATATACTGTACATGTATTAATTAATAACAGTAAAGAAGTCGAAGAAAGTCATTTAAAATTCTACTATGTCGAGTTTGCATCGATAGTGGTGTTTCTGTAGAAGAATAACTACGATTAAATACTAGAAGAATACAAGTAATCTGTTCTCTGTTATACACGTTCAAAACGACACAGCCGTTTTCCGCCGTAGTCAGCCACTACGAATGGCAAGCGGGGCAGGTGTTGTTAAGAGAACCGGCTCGTCTGCATGCTCGTCCGTACCACCAACACGGACTGATGACTTTCATAATCCTTCACTTGCTGCTCGTTTCGTATCGACAATGGTGTGCAGTAAAAGGTTCTCATATTTGATCGTCGCTTGGGATTTTTTAATGCAAACAAAATCTTCGATGAGCGTGAACTGACGTACCCAACAGCAAACATTCACGTGGCATAGCTATCTTTTCTCACCGAGTCGAAACGACGGGTTCATCCTTGAGTTCAAAGTGAGTAAATATTCGTATTCTTTTCCTAGTGTTACAACGGGAGATGTACGCAACAAAATATCAAGCATGGAGACAGTCGGTGGCGGGTTTAATTGCTCTACCACGCGATTCGCTCGTCGATACGGCCCGGTAGACGTCGCATCATGCGCGCACGGTGTCGCTTCCACATGGCCTTGGTCATGGGAATCTTGGAGCCAGCCACGATGTTGTTGATGGCGTTGGGCGCAGCCAGCTCCGGTGGAATCTGCACGGGCGGCACGACTACGCGCTTGAGCTTGAGGAAACTGAAGCGAGAGCGCTGATTCTGCGAGGGAGCCGACAACAGCAGGTCTTTCAGACTTTGAGCCTCTTCCGGCAAGGGCTCTTGGTTGTTAATGTACGAGGTCAGAGCGGGGTCACTGGCACGACGAGTCTGCAGGATCTTCTTGGCCGTCGCACCAGGCGAGCCGACCGGGGTGGGCTGGATGCTACGGAAGAACGAGCTCTTACTGGCTGTATTGGTGGCAACTTGAGTTGTCCCGGTCATCTTTGATAATGAAGAGAGAGTAGGTCGCCAGAACTTCTCGGCCTTTCCGAACCATCTGCGATTCAGTAAACGGCTAGAATTGCAAGAAGATTGCCCGCGCGCATCCACTTCAAGGAGGAGTTGCCTTGGACAGTTAATGCTTTTTTAAAATGTGAAGCTTATTAATAGTGAGGATGTAAAAATACCTTGTGTTATTTAATGGGTTCAAAATGGTGCGTATTCAAGGCGGTGGACTACATTGCACAAACCCCAGTGTGTACCACACCTCGATCACCCCACTTCAACAAAATCTTAAAGCGTCGTTGCCGCCCGTCTGAGCAACACACGCCACTTCATCGAAATGCATTGGTTGGAAGGAACTCGGCCTTGCCACTACCGCTACTACGACTGCCTACAAGTACCGGTATGGACATTGTGTCGCTGGGCAAATCAGGATTAGCTCATTGTGCACAGCGTGGAAGACTTATCATGACAGCTGGCACGTCAGCGCAGAATGCCGATGGGCTCAGCTGCAGGCTTCTTCTCCATTCGTCATGAGTCGTGAATCACGACAAGACTCGTGTCAAGAAGTCCTCACGAGAAGTATCGAACGTGGTAGCATCTCTGCTTGTCACAGTGCTGCAAGAAAAAAAAAATCGCTTAGACTTGTGCACTCGCCTTCAGGATGAATCTCGAATCTTAAATTGTGATACCGGTATATGTATGGTGGCTCCGAAAAGTTAAAAGCTCCACTTTTGCTTGCTCATAAACATGGGAGATCATAATCGATAGGTCAGCATCGTCCCGCAGCGCTTATTGTATCACCCCTTGGTGCCAGTAGTTGTGGGGAGGCTCGGCATGCTTCTGCAGTGTCCTCCCGAAGACTCTAATCGCATATAGCTGCCTATACCCGACTGTTCAAGCAGCTGCGCGCTCACACGTTGAGCGTCGAAATCCTCCAAGCTCGGACTCGCAATAACGGAGCGTTTGGGTGTCGCGAGAGGTCTCTCGACTGCTTGCAGTGGTGCTAATCTCCGCTGCTGTGCCCTCCTGGCAGCCACGGGAGTTCCAAGTAATGATGGAGGCATTGCTTGGAGGCGCTGCCAAATCAACAAAGTCCATCGTGAACTCAAAACGAAAGGTATTTACGACAGAGCGAGTACAAACCTTGAGAGCACTGTTCCGAAGAAAGACCTGTTCTAGCGCTTGAAAACGCATCTCTTCCTGATGTCGCGTAGCTAGCGCAGCAAGTTTAGCCTTTTTCGATATTGCTTGTCGGTGTCGCGATCGTCCAGGTGATGTGGAATTGCCACTACCTGCGCCAGCTTTCTCCTTAAAGTGTTTCAGCTCCTCGAGATCTTCCTGAATTGATTGCGACGTGAAGCTGGTGATCGAATCGAGAATAAACCGTCGTCTCTCCATCGATAGCTGCGTATTAATCTCCAAGAATCCGGAGCTCTGGTGCTGCTTGTACAACAAACTTTAGCTTTTTCCACAACAACGACCAAACTGGTTAGCCGTCGCCGTACAGTACCTCCATTTTCTTGGTGAGCTGGTGAAACATAACCTCGTGCTTCTGTGGGTTCGAGCCCTTGTTGTGCCTGGTACCGGTATGCGGCGTGAGAAAATCTACAAACTCCTGGAAATCGATCTGTCCATTGGAGTCTTTGTCCAACTTGTTCACAATCTGCTCGATCTCGCGTGTGTCATTCACAATGCCAATGGACAGCATCGGGTCTTCCAGCTCTTCGACCGAAATCTTTCCCGACTTATCCGTGTCCAGTGCATCAAACCACTGCCGAAGCATGCGCTTCTGTTCGCCGGAGAACTGGAAGCGCGGCTGCTTGGCATGTTTGGTCAGCCACGCGTTCTGGTCAAAACGCAGTAGCTGCTCCTGCAGTTCACGATGCCTCGCAATCGCAACTGCTGATGACGGGGCTGCCGGGTCTGGCTCAGCCCGCCACCAGAAGCTTTCCAACTTTGCCGTCTTCCTAGCCCCATCACGTCCAGCCATCGCCATGCATTCTAGCTCGCAATAATGATTGCTATTTTTAAGAAAAACTTCAGCTACCGTTTGTTCACTTTACTTTGTAAGCTTACTTACAAGTTACTTAATGAAAAAACTGTTTGCAATAAAACTTCACAAAAATGAGCGCATCGAAGCGCGATCGGGAGTGGGAAGCGTCAACTGCGAGCGGCGATAACGCAGCCCCCAAGGTCGATGGAGACTCTAAACGACCTCGCATCGCTTCTCCGACGTATGTTCTTTCATCTGATGGTGTTTCTGCTTCTCACCGCCCGGTATTAGCGTCAGAACAGAGCTCTCAAACTCACCCCATGGCCATCCTAGACACCATTCGAGCCAAGCTGCAGAACACCACAGACCCTCATTTACAAGCCCGTCTTCTGCTACAATACAGCTCAGCTGCGGCCTCTCCAGGTGCCAAGACGGCAGCAGCCATCGACTTCCTCTTCTCGTTCTTACAGCAGAATCAGACATCTCAGAGCGACGGGAATCAGACCAATGACGCCGGCAGCAACGGAGCCATCGTCGTGGGCGCCATTGTACGTGGCCTTAGACAACTGCTGGCTGTCAAGGCTGCTGTGGTGGAGCCTATGATCCAAGTGGACGCCATGGGCGAGCAGCTCATGCAGTGTATGAGCGTTGGGGAGGACTTCAAGCTCCGTCGAGACATGCTGCGCATCGTTGTGGATTGTCTCATGCTCACCAAGAAGTTCAAGCAGGTGGAAACACTACTGCACACTTGTGTACATGATCACGACGCTGGAATGCAGGCAATTTGTCTCCGTGGATATCTGCGACTGCATGATGCCGGACGACGCTTTGCTGAGACGACTGCAGTGGACCATTTCGACCGGTTGGCGGGCTTTGCGTTATTTGCACCGAGTGAGGAGGTGAGAGTGCTGGCAGCTCAAGTGATCGTGGCGCTCGCAGACCAACACTCGCACAATGAAGTGGAGAACAGCAAATTCTTCCCATCGACGGCCAACCAGACGCTGTTTCTGCCGGAGAAGGCCTTCTATGTGCTGTGTATGGCTGGAGACGATGCGTCGGAAGTGGTACGAGCGGAAGTAGCTCGCTGTCTGCGTCGCTTCTCCCGTGTGCTAGCTAGTGACGCCGTGGAGCACGCTGTTGTGAAGACAAAGATCGATGAAGCTGTGGTGGATGTAGCGCCGGAGATTGTGGAGATGAATACGCGTCGTATGATGTCGAGTGGAGTGTTGCTGTCACTTCTCGAGGATATCGATGTGTATGTGGCTGCTGAAGCCTCGCGTACTATTGCCACATTGGCTGAAATGTCTATAAATCCTGACGCTGGTACTGCGCGGTGGAGTCAGCGAGCCTTGGAGCGTGCTATCACTGCTCATTTCGACGTTCTTCCACGTGCGAGTGCGTCGGAACTGCGTCAAATGTTGGTGAGCTCCATGCGGCGCTTACTGGTGTGTCGTCACAAGCTGGAAACGAAGACCGATTTCACTCTTTCAAGCGCTGATTTGAGCTCGTTGCTGCGCAGTGCTGTAGTCGAAGTGGACAGCGCTAACTCTATTGTCATCGAGATCTTACTGGTGCTGCAGTACTGTGACTTGTCAAGTACTTGGGCTGTTCGTCGTCTTGTAGACTTCGTGTTGGAGACAGCAGTTTCCTCTTCGGTTCAGAGCTTTGCAGTGGACAACGATGACGGCAACTCAGATTGGTGGGAGAAGCAGTTTGTTGATGCCGTACGAGATCTCGGGAAGAAGTGTGTAGACGTGCTCAAGGCCGATGGTGCCGTGTCAGACCGTGTGCGAAAAGAAACGGCACAGCGTTGCGACCAGCAGCAGCTCGTGAAAAAAGTAGCCCAAGCCTTACTTCCTCACGTTGACGCTGCAAGCGTAGAGTCCTGTATTAAGCCTCCTCCTACTGGATCTGGCCTATTCTTTCTGAAGAGCTCACCCTCGGCACCGCTTCGTACGGACTCGCACACATCCAGCGTGTCGTCTCATGTGACGAGCTCTATGGATGTCCTGCGAAGACCCCCAATAGATGGAGACATCGCTGTGTCTCTCAAAGCGGTACGCTTTATAGCTCTACCCCAACTGTTTGTGTTCCTTTTCAGACTAACTTTTCATTTGGCTTTGATGTCTACACTGTAGATCCATCGCCTTCGCACGGCTTTTGCTCAGGATGAAGTCGATGTTTCTGTCCGCCTCGCAGATGTTCTCGTTCGTCTACGCCAACATGTCCAGTCGTTCCCTGACGCATCAGCTGCGCCAGCCCCAACGCCACTCAAGTATGTATCCATGTCGGCTATGCTCAGCACGAGTCCAAGCGTAAGTTCCGGACACACAACCAGCAGTAGTCAAGACCACAAAGAAGCCGAAGCCTTTGCAAGTCTGCAGCTACCGAAGGGTCTACAAAAAGGCTGCCAGGAGATGCTTCACCAAGCATCCGACATCTATGTGAAGGCTTTCGCTTTGAGTGCATCTCCACGCACAGAGTTGCTACAGGTATGGCTCGTATTTTGCTGGCATGTTATTTGGACTAACTAACCATTTGTGCTAGCTGATATTGCTCGGACGTATGGGACTCGTGCTCGCGTTGTTGCAAAACTCCAATGACAGTCTGCTTGTCATTGAAAAGCTGCGGTGGATAGCCAAGGAAGCCACTCGGTTGCGCTTCCTGGTCGATGACAGTCAACGCAAAGACGATGTTTGGTTGCCGACTCAGTTGCTCTCCGACGTTAGCTCCCTGAACGATCTGAAGCGTGTGTTCGTCGCGAGTGTCCGTCAGGCGTGGCCCAGCGCACTCATCGAGGCTGCGATAGCTCGTTGTACACCTGCAACTAGCGGATCTGGCGTCCAGTATCGTCCTCTATCTACGGCCCATGCATCGATCCTGGAACCGACTACAAGTGTCACTGCCAAGCCGGAGCCTCGAGAGATTACAGCGAATTGGCCATTTGAGCAGCGCGTACGCTTTGTGTTGACAAACGCGCGGGGCATCACACAGATATACGTCAAGAGCGTGCTCCCCAATGGCGACGTGGCTTACCATCATGTACCAGCAAGTTGTATCCGTACTCAAGGCGCAAGAAAGCATTTGGTTGACCACACTATCACGCTGACTGTGTTGCCGTTCTCGGACCCAACAGCGTTCACGGTAGCAGCGTGTCTGGGTCAGCCACCGCTCCCCGGAAGTATTAAGGTACGGCAAAGTTTTGTCTTTCAGCAGAATGCACCGACTAAGTTTGATTGTGATGCTTACAGCCAAGCACCTCTGGAGAGACCAGTTCTCACCTGTTCATCGAGATATCGAACGCTGTTCGTGTGCCCATTTCTCACCGTACAAGCTCCACGCTGAGGCATGCAGCTGCCAAGGCTTAGACCGCATCAATGCATCAATTATTATCGCGCGCTAGTGGTGTAAGAGTTCGTAGAGCAGAATCGCGGACGCGACGCTGACGTTGAGCGAATCCACGCGAGTGTCTTCGTCCGTAGCTTGACCTGTATCGCAGTCATGTGAGCTGCATGGAACTGTAACGAACAAAAAAGTGTATCGAACACATACCTGGGATGATGACGACGTCTTGGCAGCACTGACGAATATGTTTACGAAGACCGCGATGTTCATTGCCCTATTTTGGAGCACCAGTTAGTCGTACATTTAATGTTGTACGGGCGTGCAAACCCTTACCATGACAAGGATCGTGGGTTGACCATCTGAGAGTTTCGTGGACGTGACGGAGTTGGGTCCACTGCTTGCGCCAACGACACGCCAGCCGAAGTCACCGCTGACTGCAAGCATCTCGTGCAGATTCCTCGCTTTCATCAATTTATCCTGCAACATGTTATTGCTCCTCAGTACCATTTTTTTTAAATAATAGTTAGAAATCAATTGTGAACGTACGTTGGCGACCATGACTTCCAGTGCACCGACGGAAGCTCGCGAGACAGCAGGAGACAATGGAGCCGTGTTCCGATCACTTACAACGACTGCTGAGCAGCCCAAGAAGTGCGCAGAACGGAGAATTGCGCCAAAGTTCTGCGGGTCGTGAATCTCGTCCAGCACCAAAATGACAGGAGAGCGATTCGACTCCGTGAACACTGCAATACAACGTAAGTATCCATAACTACGTCACAAACACAATAGCTTCAGGACTCTCCGACCTGATGGCTCCCAAGGAACGAATTCTTTCAGTTGAATTGGAGCAGCATCCAACACAACACCCTACACAGCACAATATCATATATGACAAACCGCATTCATTTGGGCACTTCAAAGATTCTTACCTGATGAGGCTTGTCTCCTGTGATGTGGTTAAGCATCCATTTGCTTGTCGAATGGATCTCTACGCCTTTAGACCCCGCCAGGTCATGGATACGCTCCAAAGCACGCACATCTGCTGCACTCTTCTTCTTGGGGCGCTGGCCGTCCATTGGTGCACGCTCTTCCCGCACATACAGCGCATGGGTGTCTCGATGGCCGCTCTCCAGGGCCTGCAACACGCTGTGAATGCCGTAGACACCTTCACCCGCTAGCTGCGGAACGTCTTTGCCGTCGTTCGTGCGCGTGAGCGGCTGGCGTTCATTGTCACGCCAGCGCCCTCCTCCGCGGCCTTCTCCGCGACCTCTTGGAGGACCCCAACGCGGAGGCTTAGCGCTACGAGAGCGTGGGGGAGACAGCCATTTACTGTCGGAGAATGAGGTAGAGAACAAACACACAGACAGCGAGCGAGGCAGAGTAGACGCCGAGCGTCGGCTCACCAACGTTGATGTCCGCAGCATTGGTACGCAAAACCCCAAAATAATCTATAAATTCAAAGAGACCTTGACCAGCACTCACACCAGAGCTGATTGTTTGTTCGGATATCAATTCAGAGAGGTTACAAACGACCTCCCTAACGTCATTTTGCTATTGGACCCCGAACGCCTTTCTAACGGACCCAATAGCCATGGCCGACTCCTTCCCCGCTTGCGTGCTGTGCTGCAATGCTATCGACAACGCTTCCCGCTTCAACACGGTGGGCGTGTGCAACCACTCTGGCTGCTGCAGTATCTGCGCGTTGCGTCTTCGTCAGCTTCTAGGCCAGACCTCGTGCGTCATGTGTAAGACGGATATGCCTCGTGTCATCTGCATATCGAATGAGGACCAAAGCTTCGAGTCGTTCCAGGACTGGGGAGACAATATCGGCCCCTCGCACGTATTTGACGATACCTCGGGTATGTTTTTCCTCAAGGAAGACTACACCAAGCGCATCCGCAAGCTCCGGGACCCTCTCTGTAAGAAATGTGGCAAGAAATTCGCCACCGTGAGCGCTCTCCGTACGCACGTACTAGACGCGCACGGCCTGCAGTACTGCAGTATTTGTCTGGAGAACAAGAAAGTATTTTTAGAGGAACTGGAGCTGTTCACCAAGGACCAACTGAAAAAACACAACAACAAGGGCAACCCGCACGAGGGATTTATGGGTCACCCACGCTGTGATTTCTGCTTTTCCAGGTTTTATTCCACCACGGAGCTGTACGACCACTTGAGGAAGAACCACTTTGAGTGCGATATTTGTCTGTACCAGCTCAACGTGCAGAACCGGTACTACAAGGACTACAACGACCTCGAGAACCACTTTCGAGCCGACCATTTCTTGTGTGAGGAGCGTGAATGTCTGGCCAAAAAGTTTGTCGTGTTCAAGTCGCATCTGGACCTTCAGGCCCACTTGACTGTGGACCACCCACACATCAAGACGAGTCGCAAGATCGACGTGCATTTTACAGTCCGTCGGGCGTCCCAGGGAGACGAAGAGGACTTCGAAGATCCGCGATTGTTCGAGCAGCAAGGCCCAGGTAGCCACACGATCAATGTGGCTGATTTCCCGTCTCTATCGGGCTCGGATAGTGCTGCTGCGGGGCCTTCGTTCTCGTTATGGGAGAACCAGGCGGCCTCTCATCGTCCTCGAGCCGAGGACTTCCCTGCTCTCGCCGCTTCAGGCTCTTCTAACCGATCTGGATCGACGTTCCGAAATGCACTGGCGCCGCCCCCCTCAGCTGCTCTGCGTGCTCACATGGACAACAACGGGTGGGAGTATGAGAGTCCAGACTTGGCTTCAGCTGCTGCCGTCTTGGGCGCCAACAACCCGCTGCTTGGAGTGTTGAAACCTGCTCGTAAGAATAATAAAGGCAGGAAGAAAGGTCGGAAGTCCGGCGGCTTGGAAGAGAAGCTCGCGGCTCCGATTGTAGCTCAAGAAGAAGAAGAAGAGTCGGAGGAAGAAGAAGTGGGGCCTGCACCGTCCAAAACCGCAGTGGTGCTCAAGATCCGACAAGCTCTGGGCAGTGACGCCAAGTATGAAGTGTTTCGTGAAGACTGCAAGCGCTTCCGCTTGGGTGAGACCGAAGCCCCGGCCTTCTACTCCAAGATGCGCGACATGTTCTCTTCTGCGGACTTCTCACAGCTCTTCCTCCCACTCATGAGACTTTCTCCGGATAAGGAACAAGTGGATACATTTTTTGCATACCACAAGCAAGTGACGAAACAAGCCAAGACTCAAGGCTTCCAACAGTCCCAATCCAAGCGTAACAAGAAGGCAGCTAAGCAGCAGGTTGAACTGGAGCCAAAAGCCTCCACTCCACGTCGAAAGATCCAACGCCAGCCACCACAACCGTCACAAGCTGGGTGGGGCAACGCGTTGAAGGAGAGCGGCGTTAGGGCTGCTTCTGGACGTAAACCTTCCGCCATTGTGCACAACACGAACATGCGTGCAATGCTGGGACGTGACACGCTGCCTACAACTCAATGGAGCTCGTCTGGAAGCTGGCAAGCGCCTCCTCCTGCGGCGTCCAGTGCGTCAGCGTACCCTGCTCTGGGTCGTACCCCTACGAGTACCAAGCTCCAGACTGCTCCCAGTGAAGCCTTTGCTAGTCTTAGTGTCTCTTCTACGCCCTCTTCTTCGTCCGGATACGGAGCTCCTACGTCAGCGTATGCATCGAGCCCGACGCCAGTATTGCGTCAGATGACACCGCCACCCGCTCCATCAAGTTTTAAGACAGCTAAGAGCGACTTCCCGGAGCTACCCAAGGCTGGTAAACCTGTCGGGGTGCAGCCAGTAACACGAGCGACTTGGGACGATCAAGTGCAGTCAATTGCTCACAACCGCGTTTCTAACGTTTCAAACGGAGGTCGGGGCAATGGCAAGAAGAAACAGAAGAAGAAAAGCATGACGCTCCAGGAAATGGCCATGCATTTCGGTTAACTGATAGAAACAGACTTAACGGAACAGTTAGAGCGAGAAGTTTTAACAGCTATGTTTTGTTGGTTTTACTCCATCGTAGCCACGTTTTCACAAATGATTAAACGCACAAAAACGCGCAGTGAAGGATTCCTCTATTGGTATCTCCAGTCTTGGGCGACTTAGTTAATGCCCAGGTGTGCCATGATCTTGTCGAGTTTGCTTTCAATCGCTGCTAGTCGTGCCTCGACGTTATTGTTGCTTCCGTTCTCGTAGCTTCCAGACGATGGCGTCTGACGCGGCGTCGCAGGTGCCGAGCTGCTGTTATTTGCAGGCGGAGCTGAGCCACCACCGCCGGATCTTCTCGCAGCAGCCTCGCGGTTCTTACGCATAATTTCGGCAAACCCTCCCGCTCCATTGGAGGCGCTACTGGCACTGCCGCCACTGCTGTCTTCTCTCTGGATTCCAGAGCTTGGCGTCTTTTTCAAGTTGCCTCCTTGCTTAATAGCCGCCATCATAGCGCCCATGCCACCGCCTCCGCCCACAGAGGGACTAGCAGCAGGGGCTGAGCCTCCAGAGCCAGCGCCAGGCCCGGCTCCAACGCTGCCACTTGGGTGACCAGCAAACATCGTCTTCTCTACTGTTTTCACCTTCTTGAGGCTGGCTCCCTGCTGGATCTGAGCCAACAGACCGCCTCTTCCTGCGCCTCCAGAGGGAAGAGCTGGAGTCGAGGAGGAACCGCCTGAACCTCCCCCTCCTGAGCTGGATTTGTGGTGTTTGGGCGGCGTTTTACTAGAGGAGCCTGAAGGCTTGGTCCATGTCGTCACTTTAGTCTCCGGGTTGTAGTAGTATTCCTGTTGGAATGCAAGAAAATAGTGTTAACTTTAAAACGTCTGGGAGCTTGGGAGCGGTATGATACACAATCATGACGTCAACTTGCAGCGTTGCGGCGTGTGTAAGGCCGCATTCGACGCGCCGAAACAAGGGAGTTGTGGTGGGGCAGCTTACCTTGCCATCCTTGGTCTTGTACGACAGCCACGGGGCGGGGAGCGGCATGGTGACGTGTTTACGCTTGGCCCCTGCAATTGTTCTGAGAAAAAAACGTGAACTTCACTTCAGATGTGAAAGACCGTGGCGATCAATTATGAGATTCTACGTTGTTGAAGTTGTTGATGAAATTAAATCTGGGTCATCCATCACCTGGCTAACAGTACAATGCCGCTCAAGGAACACGACCTCTCCGACTCCCCGATGCGGATCAACCGACGGGTGAGCTTGTCACCGCCTCGTCGGTACCTGCCAAGCACACAGCACTTTTGCTTCCCGCCCCTTAACCAATAACTGCAACACGATTTTGCTGGAATACATCGTTGCCGACAGTCTAACCCGCCGGGAAATCGAGGGTAAACTCCTGGAGTAGACAAAGCAGCGTGTTATGGGCCGCCTACTCAGAGCTCAGCAACGACGAACACTGGTCCAATTACAGCAAAGAGGCGTCGATGTGCGAGTGTCCTTGATTCGAGTTTGACCACGCTCAAGGCAAGAGCCACTGCATCTACATTCTCCGAATGGGAGGCTTGCAGCTCCACGTTTTCAGTGAGAACGGCTTCTTCGAGTTTTAAACAATGATCTAGGTCGACGTAGTGCTGCGCGGCTCCGCCGACATGATCGTGGTTTATGGAAGGCGCGATTGGTACGCTCACACCGATACTGTAGCCACTCTTTAAGGTAACATTTCGACGCACTCGTATTGCTTACAGCTGAACTGAGCAAGGAGGCGGACGAGAGACGCTGATCTACCATCTCTGATGACTTCACCAAGCGCTTCGTCCTCGTCAAGGACACGGAGACGGGAAAAAGTTGACGTGCGCCTCACAGCTGCTATCGAGGACGACTGTGTGCTTCACCCTCATCTACCTTGATACCTTGATCGGACGCGCAAGACGAACTCGAGCCAGGCAAAAGAAAGGAAGACGTCAGCTTTAATTGCCAAAGAAATCGAATCAGTCAATGAAAAGTCAAATTTGTGTGCAATTTTGCTAAAGTTCAATTAATCTGAAATGTGCTTTTTGGGATTTTATATCCGTCGAAGTTGGTGCGTTTTCCCTTAGGTAGCTCTTGACGAAGAACCTCCGGGTCTTTGTCAATGTCGTAGTGATCAAGTTTCACATGCGACGCATACGTCTTGGAGCCTTCGGAACTAGCCGTGCTGTTCATCATTTTGTGGAAGTAACCGTACGGTGTGCTCTCAAATTCTCCCTTGGACCAGAGCTTCACGTCCAGATTGTCGGGACGACCGAGGCGTTGTCCATTTACGACTCGAATATATCCACTCGACATACTGGCGCCGTCCTGAGCGATCGCATCCTCTTCTTCGCGTCGACGAATGACGCGCTTCGTCGGATCGTCCACTTTTGCGCGATGGTGGATGAACTTGGCGTCACTCAGCGGATTGTACTCGCTTTCAATGATAATATCACGGAATAGGCCACCTTTTTTGTTGGTAATATCCAGGAACTTCTGATACGCTTCAGCCTTTTCAGCACTGCGCTGCTTGCCGTCCATGGACTGGACTTTTGCCACAATTGGGTCGTTCAGTTTGTGGAAAACGTCGTTGGTCCATTCTTCGTGCATCCGAGAAAACTGGCGAGTCTTGGACTGCTGCTGCAACTCCAACTTTTCATGTAGCTCCTTGGCGAGGACCTTCCCGTCCTCTACTTTTTGGTGAAGCTTTAGAAAATGTCCCTCTTTCTTGCTCTTCTGACGCTGGATGTTCTCCGCTATCGTCTCGGCGAGTTTTTTCTGCATAGCTTCCTGCTCCTTCCTGTACAGCTCGTGCTTCATGGCCATTCGTTTCTGCGGCAGTATTTCTTTAAACATTTAGCAAGAGATCAAGGAGTTGTACAGGAGTGCACATACCATATGCGGCGCTTTTGTCAGTGTGAAAGTTGTTATTTTGCCGCGGGTATTGGCGGGTGAGGCTGTCGAGCACGATCTATGCGGAAACAGAGGTCGCGTGTGAATAAAGGCAAGAGACTACACCCTGCTTTCAGCTTACTTTGATGAGAGAGAAGAATTGCTCAGTGCATTCTGTCGAAGCTCCTCGAAGTGCTCCGAATTGTGCACACGGATACTCATCGCGGAAAAGCAACACGAGTAGATTTACGGCTGCAATAATCGGAATTCGCACGATGCAAGGAGCGACTTGCCAACTTGACTAGAAATCTAAGAGGCACTACATACTTGAAAGGGTTAGACGATCATACCTATATTTATCCATTCAACGCCCACCACCGAAATATATTTAAAAAAACTGCTGCACGAATATTTTTTTATAAATTTATTTTAACTTTTTTCGAAATATATTTTAAATCTTATTCGTGCAGGGCTCACCAGCAGTTTTTTAAATTATTTTTATAATTTTTTTATTCGTGCAGCGTTCACCAGCAGTTTTTTTAGCTACCGGCACGTTACTCCGACCCAAACAAAATTTTCATTACTGATAGCGTGCTAATACAGTAAATCGGAGGCGCTCTTTCTACCGAATGCTTTCAAAAGAACGAAAGCTATAAGCCTATGGAGTCTGAATTTCCTATCAGGATTCAATCTTCCCCAGATTCACCATACCTAATTAAATTCTTGCCCAACGTAAAAAATTACTGACATCAACAAAGAAGAAGTCGGGGCACAAGGAATCTGAGTGCCGCAGCCCGAAAGCCGATAAGGGACGTGGATCAGGTCCAGATTGCTCAAGTCCGAATGGCTAGTCGACTCTGGTGCAAGCTCGCACATGACCAGCGCCCGAGACAAGGTCATGTCCATGACGAAGCTGATAACGCCTATTCGCATTACAATCACGGCTAGCACGAAGATCGACGCAGTGGCAAGAAGCGCCGTCGGGTTGAAGCTGATAGACGGGACGTCTGTCACAATGTCGGATGCTATGCACGTCCCTGAAGTTGAAGTAAGCCTTATCTCAGTGTCGAAGCTGGCCGATAAGGGCGTCGCCGCTCCGTTTTGCCAGGACAAATGCGTTTTGGCAACGCTACAATCATAAGGCCAAAATCTGTGGAAAGGCCGGCAAGCTGAAGATAGTGGGGAGCGAGGTGTGCCATGTCGCGACGACACCTTTTAAGAAGCCATGGGCTGATGTGCACGCCAGTCTCAGCCACATCCCCTAGGCTCCAGCTTTATCTTGGCGTTGACATATTTTGTCAGCGCTTCATCAGTATTGGTCAAGCAGATTCCCGATTCCAGCGGAGTCAAGCACGGCGTCGCGCTCTCTTGGCCAAACAATTTGATGATCGACACAGTCTAGTCACTTTGGCAGATGCCTCACGTCTTGCGTTCCACATCGTAGTCAATATCGATGTCGAGAATGAAGCGTGCACGCTCGAGGCCCCTGATCCGGAACTTCTCCGCAATTGCGGCTTCCATCGACGCGACGACAACCTTGTCGCGTGATGCAATCAGCATGTCGTCCACCAAGCGACACACGATACACTCATTATCGCCGTCACATCTTGTGTAGACACACGGGTCGCCATCAGTAGCCTTATTGCCCATGCGCTTAAAAGGATAGTCGATCGTCTCGATCCAAACACGAGACGCTTGCTTGAGTCCATACAGGCTTTGCAGCAGTCTGAAGGCGACGATGTCTTCTCCTTAAGCCTCAGCTTACGTCAACAGCCCCCATACCACCTGGCAGCTCAATGTAGATTTCTCAGCTTACCGTACTGTAGCGCTGTGACCACGTCACTCGGCTTTATACCGAATCCGTCTGCGCGTCACTTTGTCAACTTGGCACGGATCGAGTTCAGGTAAGCCACAGGCGCGATAACCTCCTTCTAATCGATGCCCTGTCGTTGTAAATACCCTTTGGCCACGGGGCGATCCTTGTGTCGGATCATCTGTCTTTTTTCATTGCGCTTGAGCGCGAACACCCAGTGGCAACCGATTTGGCACCTGGTGTGCTGCCTTGGCACCAACTTTCAGGCTCCCTTGTCCGTCAGCGACTCGAGCTCACTTGCCATCGCATTATTGCGATTATCTTGGTCCGCACTTGTAGTCGCCTCTGTGTACGTACTCGGGGCCTCCTCGGTGGCAGTCACCTGCTGTCTTTCTTCAACAATTGCGACTTGGTTACCACTTGGACTCACTCGAGTTTGGGTCATCCTCGGACGCTTCGTTCCGCTAGACGATGGAGAGTCATTTTTTTTCTTTCCCGTGCATGCATCTTCCGAATCCTTTGTATCTTCAGTTTGACAAGCACGTGGCAGAGTAATCATACGATGCGTCGAGTCGTATGGTAGCATCGCACGCTCACGTCACGTTGAAGTAGAATTACGTCGGTGACCTCAACATTACCAGTACGATCTCAGTCAAATCAGCTCTCGTCGGGGATGTGAGCGTATCCCAGCGCTCTGAGCACCTTCGCGACCTTGTGTTGTGGCTATACATGGCTCAATATCCCGTAGGGTGCCTTCACCGTCACAGCGGAGGGACCCGATTGGTGATCCAGGCCGCCGTGTTGACCGTTTTCGCTAGCCACTTATTATCGATACTCTCATGAAAGATGGTACTTAATTGCTTCTTTTGATTCTGACAACAATTTTACAACGGTTAATAAAATTTAATTTATACTTCCTCTGTCCGAAAATATAAGCGGGGCATCTATTTAAACCGTGTCCGAAAATAAAAGCGGCATGCTTACAAATTCAAGTCATTTGATAGTACTGTCGTATTCCACCTAAGTACTCCCATACAAATGCTGTTGTTGTTGCCGGCCGCTGCAAACCAGACCGTAGAAATATTTAGGCACTCTACACGGCACCGCTCAGCAGAGAATCTCACGCGCTACACCTCTACAGGTTTCTATGACATTTCGTGTAAAATTGACATCCTGGCGTAAGATTTTCAAATTACACATCTTCACCACGAACTTTGCATAACGATAACTTTGCGACCAGGTGGCCGATTTGCTTCAAACGTCGACCAAAACCTATTGCCGTAATCTAAACAGCAATTAAGACCAATCAGCTGCTCGTTTAAAGGGTTTCTGTTCTTAAAATTAATTTTGCCCGCCCATCCTGCTTATTTTTTCGGACGGAGAAAGTATATTTCATCTAAATGAGTAGAAACTTTAAATAACATAAAAAACAGCGTGCAGCGAGGCATCTTCACGAGGCTCTGGTTCATGCGCTCAGCCAGTCCACTCTGCTGATGCGTGAACGGCAACGTCTTTTCATACTTGATCTCGCTGCGGTTGAGAAGCTCTTGAATCTTTGACGAGTGAACTCACCGCCATTGTCCAAGCACAGGCGTTTGATCGTCTTGCCTGTCGGATTCTGCATTGCTGTCTTATAGGTCTCGAGCTTCAGTAGCACCTCCGAATTGGCCTCATGAAGTAAACCGTTACGTGGCGTGAGTAATCTTCTATGAATGCCACCACTAAAGTACAGCCACCATTGCATCGGACCTATTACATTGTCTGCTCTCATCTTTCTCAAGCGGAAGCATGCGCTGTAGTCATCCGTTGACGTATCGTCTGAAACTCGAGCCACCCCATCTTCCGTGGACAGTAACTGTTCGTTATAGGTCACTTGTCGTGAGTCTCGTGTACCTGGCGTGTGGAGCACGCTCGAGCATCTCGATGACCGTGGACAGGCGGAGCTGCTTTCTTGGAGCCCCAGTGAGAAGTATCGGGATGCTGGAACTAAGGTTGTGCGTTAATTCATGAAGACCAAGGATGTGGACATCACTTAGTAGGCTCGCACGAAACAGAGCCCCTGAAGTGGTCTGGGCTGGCAACCGCAACGCCATACGTTTTGTTGGCGGGACACTGCTCAAGTTGTCTGAGGCACCTGTGGTTTGGCGCTTGGTATTTCAAAGACTATTGCCTTGAGTTCGGCCGAAGCAGAGCGCATGACGCTTAGTGAATGCATTAAGGAAGGGGTGCGAATGCGGTTACTGCTCGAGAGCACTGGGTAGAGCAAGTGGAGGCTACGGTGGCTTACGAGAACAGAGGATGTGCAATGGCGTTGGTGAAGAGCGTCTACCAAGCGGGGACCAAAACATCGACATTCGTTATCACTTCCATCGCGAAAAGGTTGAGAGCGGTAAAGATGAGTAAGCGTTCATGAAGACCACGAGCCAGCTTGCAGACTTCTTGACGGATGATCTATTGTAGAAGACGCTGCGGTACTTGATGATGCGAAGCAACGTGGCTCCCAAGCTCAAAACGTCAAATTGAGTTGTGGTACAGTGGCTGCACCTCGCTGTCTACTTCGGCTGGACCGCTATCTGTAGGCACACGGCATGCACGCGCCACGAGGCTTGCAGTTGAAGTGGGTTGAAATGGGTGAAATGATTGGCGGATTATTTAGTGTCGTGGGCTGTGATTGGGCGGTTGACTTTAAAAGTCATGGCATGTGGCAAATATAAATGGACAGCGCTCCAGCTAATTGTACATACAGTCTTCAAGTAAAAACCTGGTGTTCCGTCCCAACAGAGCGTTCCCGACGCAGTTTTGTCTACTAAGTAGGAGAACGATGCAGAGGTAGATAACCTAACAGGATGAGTTCTAACTTCAACAAATCCAATTTCGAATTTACATCACCCACTACACTACCAAGCTTTGTTCGCACACTCTCAATTTCCAAAGTGCGTTTTTTTATCAATCAAAATTAAAAAGCAGAAAAAAGATAACGGGTTCTACCAAAGTATAAACCCGTTCCGAATAAAGTACCCTTGCTCGTTTTCAAGGTATATGGTTTCGTACGATACCTTTTCCAGATTTTATACCCACTTTACTTAACTACGTAAATGAGACTGCGTCAAACAAAATGTTACTTATGAACCTTTGAGAGTTATCGAGATAATCGAGGCCAATTGATTTTCGCACTTAACCGAAACAGTTACATTTACTGTAAACTTCTATCGAAAAAACTGTAAAACTACCCTTATTCAATTGCTTTTAGCAAGAGCTTTTAAATAACACCTAAATCTTTAAAATTGAAAAAAATATTGAGCTCACAACACTCCTAAATGTATCGTCATTTCGAGGGCCCATAAATGATGATAGTATTTTTGAGCGACCACAACTTCTTCAATTTTAAGCATTCTGCAGCTTATAAGGGCTCAAAAGATAGAGGAGACGCCCCGCTTTCGTTTAGAGTGCTTAAATCGCGATTCGTACTTAGGTTCATAAGTAACATTTTGGTCTCAAATGTACATGCATTAATAGAATACCTTATCTTTCTGGTACTTTAATCAATACTTAAGAACAGTGCTACTCTCATTTCTCTCGAGTACACTATGACTAACAAACGCCTTGCGGACACTAACGTCGAAAAGCGAGCATAAATACGTTTTTGGAATGCTCTTAGCGTATTCTCACTCGTTCAGACAAAACAAAGTACACAACAATCGAATTTGCGGTGGGCAATCGCATAAATGATTTTGTCAGCACTCTGTTTCGCACTCGTCCAGACAAAACAATAATAATCAACCCCTGACTTGGGCCGTGTAAGAGTGTCTTAAAAGCTCCGCCCGTTAGGCTCATGAGGTGTCTTAAAGCCCCCCCCACCATACCTACTGAATACATCCTTCGATTGTTTCTCTCACCATATCTAAAATGTCTGCAGTTCTGCCACTCAGGCCAGCTCAAGCACCTAATGAGCTCGTAAATTTCCCTTCGTGCTGGTTTGTTTAGCATTTGACTGCAATACCTCCGCCAAATAGCCATCGACTATTATTGTCTTGCTTCTGTCAGACCCGGTGCGAGCAAAATCAGCAAAAATCTGAGTCAAAATAGCTTTTTGTCGGGCTTTTGCCACAACGAGTCGGAGTGCTCTAAGGGGGAGCAGAAATCGCCATTTACAGTACTTGAAGTAAGCTTAAGCTAACAGCAATCAATTTTAGCTCTTTTATATTTGAATAAGCGAATACCCCTTTTAAGATTCTATGTTTTCGGGGGGCATTCGATAACTCAATGTGGGGGTTGATTTTGAATTGGCCAGAAGCATAATACCACTCCAAATAGTATGTATACCCTTGCGCAATTCGAAGGTATGCTAATGGAATAGTATACCGTATATTTTTTGGTGGAGCCTGTTATTTAAATAATCAGCATGAGATCCGGTTGACACTTCTACAAATCCGGCGCGATATCAATGACAACGACATCATTGTTGGTGATCATGCCAGTCGTTGCATCACAGCTATTAGTTTGTTCCTTTTACTTGCGTGATTTTAAGCATAACGCTGCGTTATGCCACAAAACATGGGTACATGTAACATGTAGCATCAGATTGCGTTAATATCGCAATCTCGTGACACAGGCATGACCTATGTACATGATTTGTTTTTGATGCAATCCCCATTAGCGTTATGCCAGAGACCAGCAAAAGGGGCATGCAAAAAGATCGCAGCACCCTGACAAATCACTTCATTGTTTGTTTATCTATACCTTACGCAAATGAGAGCGAACAGCGTGGCGATCTCGAGGTTTCTAGAGCTTGGAAAGAAGAAACAGACACCCCGAGGAGGTCCAAAACGATACTTAGAACAGCCCGAAGCCCTGGCTGTTTTTCTCGACATCACCATCCACTTCCTACGTGAAGAGTTTGAGACACTCCAGCAACGCCGCCAGCATCTACGCAGCCTCGCTCATCAATCACAACCATCACACGATGTATGGCGAACAGTGACGGAATATTTTCGCTTGATCCGCCATGGACTTCACTTCACCAGCAACCAAGTCGAATATATTCGAGGTATGACAGCTCCAAATGTAGTGTTTAACGCGGAGTACGGCCCAGAGGCGATCATGCAGCACTGGTTCTTTGTAAAATGGTTCGGTGACGTGCACGTGGAGCTCAAGGGGTGGGAGATGGTGGACGGAGAGTCCATAATTGCTGTCACAACCACTAGTGTGACCATCACACAGCACACTCTGCGAAGCGTGTTTCCGCATTTGCGCACTACCGATAATAGCGATCGCAACCGTAGGCTAGCTGAGCAGCTCCTTAATCAGCGGCTTGCAATGCGCGGATCGACCTGCTTCGACTGGGATGGTGCGACTGGCCTCGTGACGAGAATGACCACCCAAAGCGACATGCTGGCGCCGATGTTGCAGCTACTTGGTAGCATGAAGGACGTGTCTCTAGTCTTCGAACAGGCGCTCATTTCCCCGGAGTTCCAGTGGAAGCGCATGCTGTATCAGAGCGTTTTTCCACTGCGACCCAGCAGCGCAAAATATTCGCCGCTCCTAAGCTTTATTAAAGAAGGTGCTGGGTCTGAATTGGGTCATTCGAGTTGATTCATATTAGTGGCCACGACCAGCAAGCTCGTTCGTTTCCATAAATCCAATTATTATTTTTTTCTGCATGTTGATGTTATCTCTATCGTATGTGTAGTAAGAATTGAGGAGAATGTGGGAAAAGAGGAAGTTGTTACAGTGTACATACTCTTAGTTAGTAAGAGGCATTTAAGCCTAAGAATGTATTTGCACAAGGAAATCAACATAAGCTTAAAAGCACGCTAGATGTACCTTCTTGACGTTCATCGCAGCCGACTAAGGCATGCAGAGCGAGCGATATGCTACCTTTTATTAGTTTCTGGGCTTGAAGGAACAGACGTGGAATCAGATAAGTGATATTATTACGGCCAAAGGATGAAAATAAATATGCTATTATATTTTCGTTTTCAAGCTCAGTAATTTACATTGTACAAGTAATACTGTACAGGACAAATTAAAAAAATGGCATTTGGACCAATTATTGCAATAAATAAATTCGCCCCACGCTGATTTATACTTGAATTTTGTAAGCCATTAAGTATTACAGAATATTTTACATATTTATAATGTATTGGAGGGATGAAGTAGCAATAAAAAGTAATTCCGTACAAAAAATACAATTTAAATCTTATTGATTTTTTTCCATCCTCTGATTAGGGCTCACATAATATTTACAGATGACCAATGATGCTGAAAAGTGTCAAAAATAATTCCAGAAGAAAGCTTCTATAAACATGCCCTCTCATCTACGATATTAACCTGTACAATTTGGTAAATACTTCAGTTGGGGTAACTGTTCTTTAAAAGAGCAGTATTGAAGTGGGAAAGCCGGAGTCAAAAATACACTGCAATTGAAAAAACTATAGCTTGCAGAAGGTTTCCAATGGGACTCTACATATTGAGAGCACATAGAGTCCCACACAAAATGGGGCCGTGAACCCAGATAGTCAGGCACGATCCCAAGATATACACATCTTGCATGTATTAGCAAATGCCGTGTTTCACACGGGAAAGCTCTGAATTTCTAAAGAAAGCAGAAAACATTAGAATGAATGTAGATTTAGTGGTAACATAACCACGAATATACTATGGATACAGAAGTTTAAAATCTTAAAAGAAGGTTTGATCCTCAACTCAGTTCATTTCTTATAGAACCTTTTTATACGTATTATTAGTCGTTTTTGAAGCAAACAATGTTCGAGAACAAAACGTGTACCAGGGTTGTTCACTGTCGGCACTACAATAACCTGCATAGTACTGCTGTTTAGATACATGAATTTATCCACATTCATCTTATTCTAAATAGAATACAAACTCCAATACAAGTTCTACGATGCGGGAAAATGTTGTGGTTGCACTTCGCTGTCTACTCGTCTGGATGGATACCGCGTGCTACAGTTGAAGTGACATGAATAATGCGACCTAATTGGCAGATCATTTTGTATTCTGAATTGTGATGGGTCGCCAACTTCAATGGGATCGATCAGGGGATCTGCTACGGGAGGACACTCGTGATATGTAG